AATCGATGACCTTCATCAATAACTAATAATGGCCATTGTTCTCGTTTGAAAAATGCCCTGAAAAGAGTAAAAAAAACATATCAAAACAATAAAATTGATATTTCGTTTCTATATCTGTTATTACTTGTCGCTTATAATAATATGATACGCTGTAACTAACACAAGAGGTATTGGTTTTTTAGATTGACGATATTGATTAATTTGACCACGAAGTTCAACCAATTTTTCTTTATCACCATGGTAGACCATACAAGTGATCTAAAAAATATTACATTCCATTTGTTTAGTTTTATGTGTTCGCAGAGAAAACTAGATATTTTACAAGGAAAAGTGCCTCAGTGGGACATGCGTTATCCTTCTTTAGTTATTACAATTGTAAACAATCTTTCGTTTCTGACTAGGTATTTGTGAAAATATTTAAATAAAAAAAACTTCAACCTGAAATTTTTCCTATAGGTAGCTCTTGTAGACTTTCGAATGACGTAAAATTTAAGCTCAAAATGATATGTACTTCTTGAGATATTGATTATTGAAAAATAGCCATGTATCCCAAGGACAAGTTAGAAAGTCTAATGTTTTTAGTATTTGATATATCAAGAGCAATACATCCTTTTCGGTTGAACCTTTGAGGGCATTCTAAGGTTCACAAGGGCTACTTACAAGAAACATTTCATGTTGAAATTTCGTACTTCAATTTTTTCACAAATAATTTGCCAGAAATAAAAAAATTTATTAAAGATTGCAATTACTTGGAAAAGAATTACGCATGAAGACAAATTATAATAGGCTTCCAGTAACCTCACTGAGAGCCTACTTGTATGTAAAATATTAGTTTCACCTGTTCAGTCAGACTTAAGAATGTTCTCTAGTAAGAAAAGTTCTAAATTATAACCATCTAATCAAATCAGGATTGAATATTAATTAATATCAAAATAAGAAAATTGCATTTTCATCTCTTAGAAAAGATTGTCTTTCAATATAAATTCGATTTCGAATGATTGTCCGTCAAAATCTCCGATTGAAAAATTTCTCATTCATATTACATAAACATAGCTAAGTCTATTCATTGCAAAAATAGGATCATGAATGTTATCGCTAACAACAATAATTATTGCTCTGTTCAACAGTAAAGAAACTAATCCTGAAAAAATAACTTACAAATATTTTTTCGAAAGTATGAGAATGGTAGTCAAAGATTTTTTTAAATCTGTCAATCCTTAACGATAAATGTTATCTTCATGGAACAAGAAGTTTATGCATATATTGATTCAATCAAATTTTGGTGTCTCATATCAAAATTAACAACATGTATATTGGTCTAATACTTACATTTGGTGCAAATCGAGCAAATTCAGTACACCAATTAGTTAGTGTCGAAAGTGGTGCAACAACAAGAAATGGACCAGTTGCTCCATCTTGAACTAAACTGCAAATAAATGCAATCACTTCCACAGTTTTACCTAAAGTTAAACAAAAAGGTAAACAGAATAAAAGTGAAATTTATAGTCTATTTAACGTACCAAGACCCATTTCATCAGCAAGAATTCCATTTAGACCAACTTCATGTAATGTTCGTAACCATTCAAGACCAGCTAATTGATCTATTCATAAAAGAATATAAAGTCTAAACTCTACAAAAAAAAAGACTCACATGGTTTCAATGATCCAACAAATAATTTCGGTTGTCGAGCTTGAATATCTTTTTCAGTCATATCATAATATTTTTTCAGTAATCCTGTTCGTTTCATATCTTCATCCGTTGATTTTGTTTGTTCTTCATCTGAATCTTTTTTAATTTTTTTACTTTCTCCATGTTCAGCAATAGATTGTTTAATCTTATTATTAAGATGATGAACATATTTTTGACATCGTTCAAGAAGTATAAGTAATTTTGAATAAACATTATCATAAAGTGCACGACGTTCGTCATCACTCATTTTCTAAATATATTAAAATCGAAATATTCTAATTTAGTAATTAAGAATAATTACTTTATTTGATACTGGTTTAACTGAACCCATAATATCTTTAATAACAATGTTATCAGCTTTTGTTTCTTCTTTTTCAATCTGTTTATCTAATTGATTTTCGTCTACTTCTTCATCCTGACCACTAGTTGATAATTGAATTGAATCTTTCATTTCATTTCCATTTGATTCCATATTTTTTTGGCGTTTTTTTACTGGTTCATCAGTCATTTGTTGTGAACTAGATGGTTTATTATCTTTGAAGATACAAAAAAGAAAACACGGGTTTTTTTTTTTATGAGATTGATTTTCATTGGAATAAAGAATTTACCGCCGTTTCGTACTTGTAAACCAGATATTGAATGCTTTGGATCGATATTATCATAATTATCATCAGCATCAGATACTCGTCGTTTTCCAACCATGATGTAGATAAAAAGATTATGTAACAAAAGAAAAATTGAACTGAACGCAGTGACCTGGATTTTCTTAACGATTCTAGCGACATCAAGTGTTTTCCGAAATTTGTAAAAATATTTATTATTTGTATTTTTAGAAATAAACGAAAGATTTATCATGTTTCTTATTCGATTTTAACATATTTCTATATATTGCTAAGTTACCAAATCTATGGTTGTCATGGAAAACATGGAAAGATCTTGAAAAAAAAACTGTTAATTATCATAGAACCTTTTTAATGAAGTAATGAAGCGTTTACAAGCGAATAGCTATTCATATGATGATTCCATTTTGGAGAAGAAAATCAAGGTAAACACTTTATGTATTTGAAAAGTTGATATTCACTAATAGAAATATCGGCATAGTCTAAATCGAATAAATTTTTGTACTATTGAAAGAAAATGTTTCAATTTTTAGCTTTGTATTATACATTCTTTACTTTGAATGGAGATATTGGGGAAAAATGTGTTTTGATCACCAAAAAGTTGAGTTTTGATCACTAAAATTGTGTAACTGCGAAATGATTACCAAAAAAATTAGTGATTTGATCATCAAATCAATCAAGAGTTGAGCCAATTAAAATGACAAAATGTTCCCAGAAATGAAACTCGACTTTACTAATGTTATATGATTAAGATGAATTTATTAATTGGGATTAATGATGAATTTCAATATAAGTGTTGGATGTGACAAAAAGCCTTAAAGTGAGGGTATATGAGTATAGGTATGTTGGTGTGGGTGAGGGTGAGGGTATATGAGTATGGATATGTTGGTGTGGGTGAGTTCTGGGCACGAAGATTGATGCGATGTGGATGATATTTGGAACCAGCGAAAGATGCGTTTTGTTTTTATATTTCTTGTAGTTAATGGAGTGGATGCACGAAGATGCTGTAGTCGTTGATGGTATAGCATTTATTTGGTTGAATTCTTTTTTTTCATTTGTCTTTTTGATGTTGCCGCCTATAATTACTTTGGTGATCAAAGCACTAATTTTTTTGGTGATCATATCGCCGTGAAAAACTTTGGTGATCAAAAAAAATGCTGACCCGGGATATTGTATCAAAACATCAATCAGATCTACTGATAGACATGATATAATAATAAAAGAATGAAATAAAATTCTTTCGAAAAGTTGTTTCAACAGTAATCCAACTGATTAGATTAAAAAGTCGTAACGATGGTCTCTCCACATGACTCATTTTTGATCAAATGTGATGATTTTTTTAGCAGTGATAGGGGGTTGTGCAAAGTTTTTATTTAACAAAATGCCGTCAAGAAATATTCGTTAGAGCTCGTCAAGAGAAGTTAACAGATGTTTTAAGGTTCCCAAATTAATTTTCTGAAAACCAAGTCTTATGAACTCAAGACATTTTGATCAATTATTCATCGACTAATAGTTATTCCAAGTGTAAAGCAATAGTTCTAGTACGATTCACGTAAGATAAAATCAAATATCTATGAGCTTCAAGTTCGTGTGTGCATATCTAATGTATGTTAGCACTGTTACAAGGGAAGTCTTACAGATGATAAATCAATTTTGAGTGGAGACTATATACATCGTGTGAACTCAAATGAAATATCAGTACTCTGAAAAGAGTTCATGTCCACAGCGTAAGCTTTGAAACATTGTATCGAAATAGATCTTAATGAGAGTAGTTTATTGCGAGAGTTTACCAGAGATCTACGACTATTGGGTGCTACGAAAAATAGTTGCATTGCAGAATTCATCATTACCCAAAAACTTTATTAGTATTGCTAGAAAACAATTCATAGAAGTCGGAAAGAAAATAACTAACAATTTATTCAGGGATCACGAAGATTAGATATGAGCGTAAATACAAATTTTTCAGAAACCCTTCTAGTTATACAGGAAACATGACACGAGAGTAAATAGTAATGACTCAGAAATCTTTCTTGATCCTTGTAAATTCTGTTTATTCAGAGGCTTTCGATATTTCAAAATAGATATTGTTTTAAGTCTTTCATCATATTCTGATCAATCGCAAAAAATGTGAATGTCAATATTTAGTTACTGTTATTCGACGAGATTCTCTACTGATACGTTCCAAGGAATATATCATCATTCTTTACATGCCGTCCTTATCCTCATACTCTGTCATGTATATTTAAATCACATGTCTATAAATTGAGATTTGTTGCACGTGAACATGAATCAGACTTTTATCAAGCATGTGACTAAATGTCGCTTCCCGTATATGAGCAATGTAGACGACACACTATTATTATAGCGGTATCTTAGGATTAAAAACAACAACAAGATGTGCAACATTCACAAATAACTATGTTTATTACGGCTTGTCTGTAGGCAAAGTTTAAAGCAACAAGCTAAGGGTACGAATCCTTGTTAAGGTATTCATAGTTTTTTGCGTCTATATCGCGACTCAAAAGCGATTCATCAATTAAAGGATTTTTCTAGCCAGAAAAAGAAGAAATATTCTTTTGTAACTTATACAGAATGAGAATATTCGAATTGTTGATTGTTTCACTGTTTTATAATCCATGATACATTTTAGTTTTCGTCAAACTTCAAACCATCGGTTATCTTCGTAAAAAATGATCTTGTATGTAAAACTTAAGTATAAGAAATTATCTTAATAATGACTTTTATATTGAAATTTATAGCATACATTTCGTGAACAACTACCAATACTTCTTCCAGACTCAACAGAAAACTATGAAACAAAACCATTATTATATTCAAACGAACAAAATGAAATACTAAAGACATTTGTTAATGAATAAATGTGTTTTTTTAATTAGTTAAAGTTTTTATCTATCTTTAGGATGATGTATTACCGATTGAATATCAATCATGGGAAAATTCAATTATCTATCATTCCAATACCGTTAATCCGTTAAAAACAGAAGAAACAGGTTGGATACCAACACGTGAATGTCGAACACTAGCTAGTTATCAAAAAGAAATATTAGGTGCGTAGATATTGTGAATTGAATGATGAAAATATATTTTTAATTTTCAAAGGACGTAATGTAGACTTCATTGAAAATACACGATTTGGTATGTATATTTTATTTTAAAGTTAATTAATAGTGTTTCATTGCTATCAGACGATCATGATCGTGCTATGAATTGGTATTCAATTTTTCCTTTTACTGACGCGGTAATATTAAAAAATTTGATGGATAATAACAATTTTCTATTCGATTTAAACGTATATGAACATACATCATTTTTTCAATAATCTATTTTAATAGTTTAGTATAAAGCAAAATATATCAATCCTCAACAAGATCCAACAGTGATAGAATTACAAATTGAACCTCCTGTAGTTCCTATTCGAAAAGAAAAACCGACAACACATTCGAATGTTAATTCTTTAAAAAATAATAAAGTTTTTTTCTTTTTCAATTTTTCTCAAATAGTTTTGAGAATACTTTTGATTGTGTATAGGAGAACCGTTTACGTCGAACACGAAATGTTCTTGCTCGCGCAGGTTTAATTGGTATTTTACCTGATGCTCGTGATGATTATCATCATAATAATCCTCATAAAAAAAAAGAAGATATTAAAGTGAAGTCTGTTAGTTTTTGGAATTTAAGTAATGATTTTTATTATGACTTCAACATTGAACAAGAATTTCTATCAAAACGACGAATAAATTCTTCACAGGTGTGTGAAATTGTTCTTTTTTTTTCAAATAGAAATTCATTATTTTTTAAATAGAATCTTGATTTTATATTTTATCCAATATTTCGTACGATAAATGAATTACGTTATTTTCATCGTCCATTACTTAATTTATCAAGTTATCATCGATCTTGGATATGCATCCAATTATCAAACATTAAAAATCTTAATAAATCTATTCGTACGAAATCTGATTTAACCGGTCGATATGGTGAAATACTTTTATTTGAATATAGTGAACAACATCCAGCATTATTAAATGAAATAGGAATGTTTAGTAAAATTCGAACTTATCTCCGACCGGTAAAATAAAATAAACCCTCTAGAATAGAGAATGCCATGGATTTTTCGAAAAACTCGCTTTCCGAAATTCAGCACTTTTTTTTTTCAAGTAAAAAAATTTCTTTGATAGTAAAAATCTTTGGTTTTCTAAGTAAATGTTAGAAAAAAACCAACTTTGAGATTGTAGTTCACCTTTGGAGCAGTGATGTGAGCTTCCATAATAGAAGATCATGGTCTTGAATTCTGAGGAGAAATTTTTCAGTTCATCTTGTCAAATTTTTTTATTCGATTGATTTTCTTAGCAATATTTTAAAGCTCATACAACATCATTTGAAGTTGATTATGGTGAATTAATCTACACACATGCATCACCATTTCTTTGGTCAATTCCACAAGGATTAAATATTCAAACAATAGAAAATAATATGTTTATAGCACCAATCTATCGACAAATATGTTTAACCAATAATTTTTTAATAATATTTAATCGAAAAAATGGTTTTTTTATACGAAATATCGATATAATTTATATTATTGGACAACAATGTCCACTAATTGAAGTTCCAATACCACAATCTAAACGTGTGAATTTATTTCAACGTGATTTATTACAAATTTATATTTATCGATTATTTTTACAAAGTAATGAACTACCACGTCGAATACGAATTGATGATATAAAACGAGTATTTCCACGTTTGGCTGAATCATCTATTCGTAAACGATTAAAAACAAGTGCAGATTTTCGCAGAACTGGTAAGAAAATTTTTTTTTGTCTTTATAATTTTTCACTGTATTTTCTTTTTTCGATGATTGTAATTCATGGATATTGAGAGATGATTCTCGATTACCAACAGAAGATGAAATACATGACTTAATTAAACCTGAATTTTGTTGTGCATATGCATCTATGACTGCAGCTGAACAGCGATTGAAAGGTAATTTTTAAAAAAATATGTTAAATAATTTGCATTTTATATGTTTTACAGAGAAGTTTTTCTATAATGAGTTAAGTGATGATATCTATGAAAAGATAAATCCAATCAAAGTAAAAAAATTGATTTTGTAATCTTAGTTTCGTAGTTTGAAATGATTTTGAAATTAAAAATAATGTTTTTTGCTCGAATTAGCTATCATCATCAACTATTTGAGAAGCTCCTAAAAAAAAATAATCGAATTATAAATTTTGCTTACCAGATGACTTCCTCAACTGATTATTCGCTTTTGAGCTGAAAGCATGTGTATTTTGTAAATCCTAATAGACTATGAATAACCTGAAAAGAGTTCAGATCCATAGTTTGTTACTACCGAGATACTTCATTTTCAAGAACTTCTTTTTAACTCAATGGCCTGCTTCCCTCAAGGGTTTCATGAAAACTGATTTTGAACTTCTATTTAGAACCTAACACAGATATAGGTCTTAATTAGAATAGTTTATTGTGAAATTTTGAGATCTTTTGAGTTTGTTCTATGTTGACATAAGAATACCGAATTCGCCAGCATATAGTGGCGAACAAAATTTTAAACCATTTGTGTTTTATTAAATTTTTTTCTCGTTGGTAATAGTTGGCAAGAATCTGAACAATATTTATGTAGCTGAAAGAATTCTCTAAGACTTTCATTCATAATTTATGGGGAAAAAAATTTATTTGATAGAACAAGATGAGAAAAAACATTGAAATTTTCAATAAAAAGACCAAAATACTTCTTGATCTTTCTATAAGTTGAGTGCAGTTCGATAAAGGAAGGTCATGAAGAGACTGGAAATGGCTCATCTTTCTCTTTTAAACAAAATCTTTGCCCACAAGCTTTGAACAGAAGCCATAAAATTGGTTTTGGAGTTCTAGGTCTTCCTCAGACTCTCATCCAAGCACTTTCGCTGAGACTTTCAAATCTACTAGCTCTGATAGAGAATTCTTTAAGCTACACAAGTAAATTTTCAGATTCTGGCTAGTTATTACCAAAGAGGAGAAAATTGAAAAGTATCATTGCTTTAAACTTTTCGCTCGTCACTATGCACTGATGAATACAATATTCTGTTATCAAAATCGAAACAAATCTAAAGGCTCCAAACTTTCACTATAAACTAATTTCTTCAACGCTTGTTTCTACACTAAAAATACACAATCTTAGCAGTATTAAGCTAAGAGATTGAACTGTTTTCAGGATATTCATACCTCATTAGGGTCTACATGACTCACATAGTTTAGACCCCAAAGCAGTTAACTAGTTGAAGGAATTTTCTGGTTAAATTTACTTATCTCCATACTCTTCAACGTTTTTTAAAAAAACAAGTTTTATAAGAATATAATGAATAATATTACCGTTTGGTTTGTACCGTAAAAAGAATCTTCAAGATGTATATCATTCACTTCATTGACTTTCACATGTTAATTACTATTGATAGTGTTTTTTTTTTCTAGTAACTTTTTTGATTACATTTTATTGAGTATATATATACTAGATGCTGGTTTTTGTGATAAATACAATATTGATTTTGATGATGATGAACAGTTTAATTATTCATCTGAACTTAACGATGAAATTTTACAAGCACCTTGGAATACAACACGTGCGTATCTTGGTGCATTAAAAGGCAAATGTTTAATGCAAGTGTTTGGTATTGGAAGTAAACAAAATAATAATTCAATAAATGATATTGGACTATACTCATATGAAATCTTCTTTTCCTTTTAGCTAAGATTATTCATAAAACTAAAGTAAGAAAAAAAAATATTCAAATAATATGACATATAAAGTATAGACTAATAACGATTGGAAACACTTTCGTCGAGCTGTAACAGGTACTGATGCAGATCTTCGTCGTTTACAATTAAAAGATGCGAGAAAATTATTACTTAAATTTAATATATCTGAAAAAATTATTCAATCGTTAACTCGATGGGAAATTGTTGATTTAGTAAGATAAAAAAGAAAGATAAATACTTATGGCAAAACAAAAGAAATCTTTCGAATAAATTCAAATAGGTTCGAACATTATCTACACAACAAGCAAAAGAAGGCATTGGTGGTGGTATATAAATGAATGACTTTCGAAATTTTCTATTCTAATATTATTCTTTATAAAAAAAAAAAAGGGATGGTTAAATTTGCTCGTGGTGTCAAACATTTACAAGCTCAACAATTTGAAAAATATAAAGAAAATTGTCAAAAACAATTTGAAATTCAAAATCGGTAAATTTAATTTTTCTTTCTCATAAGCAAAAAAAAATGATTTCATTTTGACTAGTCTTTTCACATGTACAGATGAACAACTAACTGATGAAGCTACATCGGAAGAAAGTGATGAAGATGCTCAATTACTTGATGAAATGAGTCGTACATTAGAAAATCTTTTACGACAAAATAACGAGATAAATACATCAACATCAATTTTAAACGAAGTGAAAAATTTACATTTGTTATCTTATTAATCAAAGTTATTCTTTATTGCTTTTTAGCGTCCAAAAATGTTACATATTATACGAACTTATATTGACAATCAAGGTCAAACATATCAACAAGAAGAATTTGTTCGAAATAATGATTCAGTTGTGCAAGCATATATTAAAATTCGTCAAACTAAAAGTGATAAATTTATGTAAAAATACGTTTGAATTTTCGTTTTCTATGGTATAGATCTAGAAGATTTCCGAAAATTAGTGGAATGTTAGTTAATATTCTGCAATTCGGCTCAGCCCAGAGTATAAGTTCGGATACCAACTCGCCAGACCAATTCAAGTACAGGCATACAATCCTATTCGAACCCGTCATAGAAATTATTGAAATCTCGAAATTTTAAAATACTTTCAACTTTTCATACTGTTAATTTATACAAAAACGAAGGAATGAAAACCGGTTCAATCATGATTGAGCAACTTATTGTACTTCGGAGTAGATCATAAAAATGGAAAACGATATTGTTTTACTAACATAATTCGTTTTTAATGAAAACTCATCTATAGATAATGATGAACGATATGACAAAGTAACTGAACACATAGAAAAGAAAATTTGTAATAGAAAAAAATGAACATATATTATCGTGAAGAAAAAACTATTCGTATACATATCTGCAATTATAATGTTTAACATCAACACTATGTTCCATTTCAGCGTCATCAGCAACAAGCAAATGTATATTTAGCAGAATTAATTGAACTCCAGAAGTAGAAAGACACCAAGTGAATCTTGAATTACTTGCTTTTTTGTAGAATATACCTGTGCTAGGCACTAATATGAACTCTCAATAGTCTTATCTTTAGTTGTGTGAGGATATTACGAGAACAGTCTTTAAAGATTTATGCAAAAAATATTTGAACCTAATATTTTTTTCCTTTTTGAAATTATATTCTAGTAAAGCTTATTATACATTGGATGAAACTGAACGTGAAACATTAAAACGAGAACGTCGTCGTCTTCAAGAACAACTTCGTCGAGTAAAACGAAATGAAGCACGTTATAATCAATATGAAAGACAACAAATGTTATTACAAATACAACAACAAAATCTAGCATTAATTCAATCAGCTGAAACATGCCAAATACCACCATTATCATCATCATCTCCGATTAGTTTAAAACGTTCAAATAGTATTCTTTCTAATTTACAGTTAAGTATGAGTGAAGATGATGATCATTCTTCTTCATCAATATCTTGAACACTAAATCATTTCAAATATAAACTTTTAAACAGACAATTGCGTCGTTTTCTTTCTCTTTTTTTTTTGTTAATGTTGAATACTTCAGCTTTTTTGTCCCCATTTAACAATATGTATGTGCGATAATGTATTCGACCACTTGATCAAGTGTTTTTCAACTTTGTATGAAGACAAAGAAAAAAAGAACAAGTCGGCAAACAAAAGTAGTTTTCATTTATTTCAATATATGTTGTTGACTAATCATCATTACACTCAGCAGTAGTTGTAGAAGCATGGAATATATATATATTTATTTATAAAAATCGTGTTTGTGCCTTTAGTCAAACCACTTTATACTTATTCACACATTACTGCTGCTTGGTTACAACATAAAAAAGAAAAAGAATAGATCATTTAAATTATTGAAATATAGGTAGTTTTTTCTTCGTCTTTTGAAAGGTTACATTTTTATCGATCTATATCTATATATATATATATATGTATTCATATAAAAAACCTTCATTGATATGGGAAGAGTGAAAACTAACGAAATAAATTAAAAAAGAATATGTGCGAAATCGACACGCGTTTGTATACATGGTCACATTATTATTGTGCTTGGCTAGTTCATTAAAAAATTATAACAAGCATTGCAATACAGAGAAAGAAGAGAGTGCCTCCAAACATATTTTACTTTTATTGTTATTCACCACATTCTATCAATACAAATGATTATGCCCGATTTCTAGAGGCAAAGAGCAATATACATCAATATCAAAATAACTTGAATCAATAATAAAATGCACGAATTTTTTTTTTTTACAAAAAAACCAAAAAATTTTATCTCATGACAATCTATGTTTAAAATGAAAAGAGAATGTTTTATGATTTCTTTTAGTATTAGCAATATTTTTGTCTTTCAATACTATGATCGTTTATCTATGATTAAATATCTCTCATTTAATTTACACATACCAACAACCTATCATCCCCGATCATTCAATAACCTTTTTTTCTTTTTCTACTCTCTTTTCATATTCGACCAATATAAATTTTCTCTTTACGCTCATTGGCTTGCCGATGCGTACATATGATGCGCATCAACCCAACGCGAGAGACAGAGAGAGAGAGAGAAAATCGTTTATGATTAATAAAAACAATCTTTTTTCTATTTAACACTACTGTCACCTAACTATACATATTGAGACACATTTTCTCACTTGTACGTAGGCGTCATTGGTTTTTTCTTTTTTTTCTATTAAATATTTGCAAAACAATTATCGTACAAGCAAATCGACAAACAACCAAGACATCATCATCATTGATTGGTGGAACAAAGGAGCAAGAGAGAGAGAGAGAAAGCAAAAAAAGGAGAGAAAGAGAGACAACGAACACGATCGATTAACGACTACATTATTGACTATTGACTGTCAAAAGAAACTACACATACAAGCGATACACAATATTATAAAACAATGTATCAACTTCCTCATTATTCTGATGCACTTAAACAATTTCCATCGGCTGCACTTTCAGCCTATTTTGCTGGGGCTACAAATAGTGGGAATAGTATTGTGCCTAATACTGCTCATCATCCTTTAGCAGCTGCTGCCGCTGCCGCCGCTGCTGCTGCTGTTGTTTCACATACAAATCCATTTTCCATTGATAATATTCTTGCTTCACGTCCACGTTTACCTGTACCATTGTCATCCTACTATGGTCCAACAGCAACAAATACAGCTCAAGCTGCAGCTGATTTCTATTGTAAGTATATAGTTTTACTGAATGAAGACAAAAGGTGTTAAAGCGAAAAGTTTACCATTTTTTTTCGTATATTTGCTTATGATATATGTGTTTAATTGCGGGTATGGTCAGTGATTCATTCTAACTAGATATTGTTTCCGATTCGTCACCTGTTTTCGAAATAATGTCAAAATACTTATTATTGTATTTGATAGGGAGAACAAAAAAGTTCAAAGAGAAAATAAAGAAGATGATTGCTCATGTAAACATAGAATGATTTTCCGCTGTCGGGCACACATAGTAAGAAACTTATGGAATTTGCTTATTTGATAAAAGTCAATTATCTTTTCTATGGTATAGAAAATAGTTTCTATTTAATCTCAATACGGGAGAAAGAACATTTTGTAACAATTAAAATAAATAAATAATTTTTTGTCTTATCCAGCATTACACAATTTCTTTGCTGTGGCTTCCATGGCTCAAAATCATAAACGAAAAAGAAGACATCGAACTATTTTTACAGAAGAACAACTTGAACAATTAGAAGAAGCTTTTGGTCGTACACATTATCCAGATGTTATGATGAGAGAAGGTAGACAAAAAAAAAGAAAAATGTTTTTCTTTGGTATTTCTAAAGCAATTACATTTATAGATTTGGCTATGAAAATTGATCTCAAAGAAGAACGTGTTGAAGTAAGTGTTGTAGTTGGAGAAAATAAATTTTTTCTTCTTTTCTTTTCATAAATTTAACTTTCTCTGAAAAGAAAGTCAGTTAAAATTGATGTTCTTTTCCTTTTAATCCTATAAAGGTCATAGACAATTCTAAAAGACAAATATCTTTGTCATCATTATTTCTTTTGTTAGTGACTTGAAAAATAAAGAAGTTAGTTTTAGTTTGCTTTTCTTATTTGTTTTATCGATGATTTTGATTGTTATTTTAATAGTTTAATGATCGAATGAAAATTGTTTGATCAGCTTATAGACGCGCGGCATTAAGATTTTTTCGTATTAAGTAACAAATAATGAAAAAAAAATATTCTTATTGTTTACATGATTATATATAAAAATGCATCGGATATATATTTCAGTCTAAATATAATAAAACTTGAAAAAAATAGACTTTGCCCATTAGGTTTACTTAATAGTTGTTACTGTTATTTTGTTAGATAGAAGGCCGTGAGAAGCTTTTATCGTTATTCTTGTTTAATGGAAGGAAAGAAGGCACTTGCTCACAATGTCGAGTGATTTCAAAATCGCATTCATTTTCTTTTTTTCTTGTTTAAAAAGAAGCTGATTTCTTATATTACCCTCTGGGTGTAGGAGCATTCGATTGATTGGTGTTGTTGACATGACGACTTTTCTAGTAGATATATTGCTTCTTGTGTCTTTTATATGAACTGTTTTCATTGACAGAAGCAATCGAACGATTTAGTTTATCATTTGCCAATTATCCGCTGATTGCTGGTTAAATAAACTTGACTGAACCCAAGTAAGAGAGATCAGCTTCTCGCATTTGAAAGTGATCAAATTGAAGAAAAAAGACAAAAAAAAAGAAAAAAAGAAATATATATAAGTGTCGAAGCCGGGATGATCTAAAGACAAATCCAGTCTTTACTATACTCTCATTTCATGTTCTTACTCTTATCTCAAGAGATTTTTTTCCATTTCCTTTTAACGCCCGCCTACTCTTTGTGTTCCATCATATCCGATTGCTCTTTTCTTTATTATTCACATTGATCTATATTGAACGATATTAACAACAACAATGATTTTGTTGTTTTTTCTACTACTAATGTTCAATGTTGTGTTTTTCTTTCTCTTTCGTCTATTGCTACTAATAGGCTAATAATTCATAACATATTCTTGTCAATATCGGTTAGATGGTCGATGTATACATATACATATATCATTTGTCTCTTTCCTGGAATGAAGTTGATATACTACGTATAATTTGACTTAATTAATTTTTATGCATGATCACACATGAAAGAGAAAAAGAAAAATGTATAGTGGACGAAAGACATTATGACCAATGGGTATACGAATTTTGATAGGTTGCACCTGCATTATGAGAGTAAATCAACCGTAACATTGTTCTTTCTTCTGTTTTGTTTTTGTTTGATCATTGATTAGAAATATAAATGATTATTTAATATTTTAGGTTTGGTTTAAAAATCGTCGAGCAAAATATCGAAAACAAAAACGAGAAGCAACTGAACGATGTAATATTGTTCTTTTATTGTTTATTCTTCCTATTTAATTATAAGATTGTATTTAGGTCGTCGTGAAGCTCTTGATAAATCACAACGAACTGATGGTGAAAGTATTGCCACTGGTTCATCGACACCAAGTGCAAATTCAAGTTCATCATTAAGCAGTATTGGTCAAGAAACATCAACTAATGTTGATCATTCACTTTCAACATCACATCATTTAGTTGTATGTCCAACAATACCAAGTAACAATAGTGATAGTTCAAGATCAGATATCTCGCTAGGTATTCAATCAACACATTCATCAAATTATAGTCAACAACCATTAGCTTTAACAACAAATGGAAGATTAAATAATAATAATAATAATAATAATTCAGTATCGATTACTAATAATTATCGTAAAGAAACTTTTCCAATAAATCATATAAGACAACATGTGATTTCAGGAACAGCAACTAATAATAATAACACTGCACCATATCTTAAACTGTAGAAATCATTTCTTTTTCTTTTTGTGTTATTGTTGTGTGTATGCGTGTATAGTATCTCTGCTGCCGCGATTCTTTATTTTCTAGTTAACTTTTGCCCTTGAACAGTGTCATCCTTATTCTTGTTGTCAATAAAAGAAACAAAAAATTATAAATGATTAAATGAAAGGTAGATATAGGAAACAAACTTTAAGTGACATGTTCGTTATCCTATGATGATTGATAGTATCTATTTATTAATTTGATATATGATTTGAAAAAAAAAACACTTCAATAGCAATAATAATATATTTATGGGAATATCATTCATTCTTTTTCGATCGAAACTGATTTGGCTAGTGGAGAATATATTCTTCATTTTAGAAATATTTTTCAATTTCTGATTGATAAAAAAAACGATTTTTTTCAATATGTCGAACACATTACTATGTTATTTGGGACTGATAACATCATGATAGTTTCTTTATTGAAGTCATCATGCGAATTGTGTTAGTATATGGGTACTGACGAGGTACCTGCTCAGTTTTTATAGTATTCTACGAAAAATTTTTCAACAAATTATTCGATTGAACAT